TTCTACTATTATTACAGCTATAATGTTTAGTCAGAGCCCATGGGAGCACTGCCTTTGGCTGTGGATGGAATTCATGGATCAATGTCATGTTGAAGTTACTATTGTCTTAGCAGCTACCAGGCTTGACCACGGAATTTCTGCAGGGTGGGACGGGCAGGATTGTGCCTGTGAAGTGGCAGGTGGTGTAGTGGGGCGGAAGGAAGGCTGGACCAGGGTCAGGAGGGCTGGTGTAGGTGACAGAGCCACCATTTTCTTGTTCTTGGGCGCTTAGGTTTCTTATCCTTTCTGGGCCTTAGTTTTGGGTATATATATATATATGTGTATATATATATATATATATATATGTGTGTATATATATATATATATGTGTGTGTGTATATATATATATGTGTGTATATATATATATATGTGTATATATATATATATATACATATATATATATATATATGTATATATATATATATATATACACATATATATATATATATATATATATTTTTTTTTTTTGAGACGGAGTTTCGCTGTTGTTACCCAGGCTGGAGTGCAATGGCGCGATCTCGGCTCACCGCAACCTCTGCCTCCTGGGCTCAGGCAATTCTCCTGCCTCAGCCTTCTGAGTAGCTGGGATTACAGGCACGTGCCACCATGCCCAGCTAATTTTTTGTATTTTTAGTAGAGATGGGGTTTCACCATGTTGACCAGGATGGTCTCGATCTCTTGACCTCGTGATCCACCCACCTCGGCCTCCCAAAGTGCTGAGATTACAGGCGTGAGCCACCGCGCCTGGCCCTGTTATATATATATTTTAAAAATCTGTGTGTCCTAGCCACCACCTTTTGGAGACTTTGGAGAATCAAAATGAAATCATGTGAATATCAGAGCTTTGCAAACTGGGGCATTCCACTCTATCAAAGATCGTCCTCATTTTCTTACGGTACTTGATCCTAATCATAGTTTTCTATTCCTTGGGAGTGATTCTAATGGCATGGGTTCCAATTTGGGGTCCTTAATTCACTTACCAGGGTTGTGTGACTTGGGGCAAGTTACTTATCCTCTCTGCCTCACTTTCCAGATCTGTGAAGTGGAAATAATAATAATCATGCCTCTGCCACAGAGTTGTTAGAAGATCCTGTGAGGATTAATTGTCCTCACACAGTGACAGCTTCCCCAAGCTTAAATCAGGCCCATGAGTCACTGGGAACGGAGGTGGAAAATGGTTCTGAAATCTTTTTCCCGTTGTGTGGTTTTGGTCAATCACTGTTTCCATTCACTAAATAACACCCGAATGGCTTCAGAGATTTAAGGGAGACTTTAAAGGGCTGAGTTAGGAGTCACTTAATGATCACTCACAAAATAGCAAAGGCTGATCAGGCTCTCCCTCAGAGAAGTAAATAGTAAAAATCGAAGTCAACCTTTTGTTTATTGGGGAAAATATATCCCTGTGTAGAAAGAATGCCACATAAATCCCAGGCATTGCAGGCCAGAGGCCGGTGTCTCCTGCTAACTCCTAACCTTGATCAGGAACGCTGCCCTTTCCCTCCCTCTCTTCTCCCCTCTCCTGTTTTCCTCCTCCCCTATGCCCCCACTCCCTCAGAGCTCCCTCTCTACCTTTTCCCTTACTCCTCCCTTCCTTCCATCTTTTCTCCTCTCCTTTATTCTGCAAACATCCACTGTGTTTCTCATTAACACCCACCCACCACAGTGCTGGACACCAGAGATGTTCAGGTCCTGCTCCCAGCAACCTCTGGGACTCGGGGAGGCAGACCTGGTTGCGTGAGAAGGAATCCATTAGCAAGCGAGGCCAACAGCTCTCTTCTCATAGGGGTTATGGTTGAGGGAAGATGCCGACATGGGTTGAAGATTCACAGGCATCAGTGTGTATTTACAAACCAAGGCTAGTGCTCTGAAGGAAAAGGAATGCTTCTGCAGGAGCTTATACATCAGAAACCTGACCTTGGTTTGAAGGCGATGTCAGGACAGACACTCATGTGGGCGGGTCATGTGAGCAGACCTCCAGAAGGACCAGGGTGATGTATTTTGCAAATAGGATGATGTGTGCAAGGGCCCTGTGGTGGGTGTACATGTACCTGATCGAGGGGATGGGGAGAGCTCACAGAGTCTGTGGCAGGAAAGAGGTGCCCTGTGAGTGATGCCAAAGGGATAAGCAGGGGCACCACCAGGACCCTCTTCATTCTTTACCCTGATGGCAATGGAAAGTGTTGCTCTTCTGCTGAAAAGATTACAGTGAGAAACCAACAGAAAGTAGAGTCCACACCAAGCCTCTCCAGGACCTTGTGATTGAACTAAGACCTGGAGTCCACTTGATGAAAGAAGCTCCTGAATCACCCCATCGTTGAACATTCTTGAATCAATAGTGCCCTTGGCCTGTGGAACATGGTTCTAGGCTTTGGAGAAGCCAGGCATCTGCAGAAGGCTGTGGATCTTAGTCAATTTGCCATTTACTGTGAATTGCTGGGTCCTGAGAGGGGGGGCGGGGAGGAGAGAGAGAGAGACAGAGAGAGATTGAGATTATCTGTGATCCAAACCAAAGCACTTCAGTGTTTGTTACTTCATGGCAAGGCTGGAGCTCTTGACTAATGATTGCATGGTGCATCAGGAGCTTGCCAAGTGAAAATTAATTCTGTGTTGTCATATCCCAGGTTAATTAACTTGCTAGACTTGATAGAGTTACATAAAAAATATGCATAACAGTCTTTCTTAAAAGAACCACACAAGGAGGTAACCCAGGAGAGAAAAAGCTTAAAATTTCCACCGTGCCAGTTTCTCCCTGCATCCCTCCACCTCCACAAGAGCTTCCAGAACTGCCTGGCTGGTGTGAAGCGGTGGAGAGATGACCTGCTGCCTCCGACACACCTACGATTTCAATTGCTTTCCAGCCCCACATACAGTGTTGCAGCAGTTGTATTTCCTTCCCTGAAAGTGTTAACGCACCACCCAGTATTTCCCGTGATGCATGTATGCTAAGCCTGAGAAAAGGATATACAGAAGTATAATGGCTATGTGAGTATTGCCAGATATAGTCAAATAGCCAAATAATGATACTTAGTGTCTTAGTCTTCTTTATGCTGCTATAACAGGCCATCTGAAACTGTAATTTATAAAGAACAGAAATTTACTTCTCACAATTCTAGAGGCTGGGCAGTCCAAGATGAGGGAACTTGCATCTGGTAAGAGCCTTCTTGCTGTGTCCTTACATGGCAGAGGAGCAGAAGACAGCAAGCCCACCCCTATAAGCCCTTTTAAAAACAGCAGCATTAATTCATCCATGAGCCAGAGCCTGCATGACTTAAACACCTCCCACTAGGTCTCATCCTCAACACTGTTGCTTTGGGGATGAAATTTCCAACACATCAGTTTTGGGGGACACATCTAGACCATAGCACTCGGTAACAGGAACAACATTTGGAACACATTGGCTAAAAGCTAGCGTGTTGGGTCTGACTGGCCCGATCTGATTTCTGGCTCCATCACATCCAGCTGGGTGACCTCGGCCTGTTACTAAGGCCTTAGCTTTCTGAGCTTCCACAGCGGGGCTAAAAGAAGCATACCTTTCTGAGAGTTGGGAGAATTCAATGAGAGGAGGTATGTAAAGCACTGAGCATATATAACCAGTATATGTGAAGTGTCAATAATTTTCAGAACTTATTAGAATTAGTAATCACACAGCTAATAGGTGGTGGCTGAGTCAGGCCATGGTTGGGAGGCTCAGGAAGAGGCAGAGATGGTAGCAAATTACTCCTATAAGCCCTTTTACAAACAGCAGCAGAAAACTTAGCCCAGAAATTGCCTGTAGTGAGAACATACATCCATGTCCCACCCCATGCTTTCTCTTCCACTATGGGTTTGCGGGGAGGCCAGACCTTCTCCTGGGGACTGAAGAATTGCTTGACTGCAGATTCCCCTCTGCAACCTCAGAACTGGTTGGCCAAATGCTGAGATGAGAAGGGGCCAATAATGGAAACTGAACACCAAAAAGTTGAACTCAGCTTCGGGACTGGGACATGAACTGAGGTTCAAAATCAGAGCCCAGCTCGTGTTCGGTGCATGTGTTGCCCCTTCAGGTATGCCAAGATGATGACAGGACCATCAGGACTGTTGCTCTCCAGCATTGGGGTGAGGTCACAGGATTTTCCAAGGGATGATGGGGGTAGGGCAAACCCAGTATGGAATGAGATGCTCTGGAGTCTCATCGCAGCTAGAAATCAGAGCCCAAAGTCTCACCGACAGCAAACTGCTTTGAGAATAAAGTTACAAAAAAACCTTTACCTTTTGGCAGAAAAAGTCAGCAATACAATCATACCTACAGACAACAGAACAGTTTCCTATACATTCCACTTATTTTCACTGCGTCCTAATGGCAAATTCTTGAAATGGCAAATTCTTTTGTATCTACTAAAGATACAAAAAATTAGCCGGGCATGGTGGCCCGTGCCTGTAATCCCAGCTACTCAGGAGGCTGAGGCGGGAGAATTGCCTGAACCCAGGAGGTGGAGGTTGCGGTGAGCCGAGATCGCGCCATTGCACTCCAGCCTGGGTAACAAGAGCGAAACTCCGTCTCAAAAAAAAAAAAAAAAATTTACCAATATTTACTGAATGTCCAGCTTCAGCCCAGCCAGCACCCATTCAGCACTGTGATAGACTAGATGAGAAATATTAGATGTGGTTCCTTTATCTGGTAACAAAATCCACAGCAAAATCAACGTTGGCTGAATTTTTGTATTTTCCCTTCCTCCCTCCCTCCCTTTCTCCCTTTCTGTGCATTTTGAAATCCTCAAAAACTTACCTTTCATTCACTGGTAGAGGTAACTCAGAAGAAAATGGGAGCAAGTCCTCATTACAATCTGTGGCCGTTTCTTGGGAGAATGGAGACATTCTGGGATGTTCCTGATTTAAAAAATAATGATAATGTACATTATTAAAGATTATGTATCTGGCAAATCAAAATATGACATTGGGAAATGTTTCTGTTTATTTTCTAGATCCACAGTCGACTCTTCTCATCCCCCAAAGATCATTCAGCCTGGGAAAGAAATGAAAGTCTTTCGAATGCAGGTAAAAGACTGGGCTCTGCCCAGGCAGTGTTCCCTTTCAAGCCTTTATTTACTCTCTCTCTCTCCTCTCTTTTTATTAATAGTGGGATGTAGATTTGAGCCTAGTTTTCCACCAAATGTGAGATGATAGCTCACTGGCTCCAACCAGATTTGAAGCTAATTTGAATTTCTGAACAGCCAGGCCTAGAGGCTAAAGGATGCCACCGTGGTTGCTTCAGGGGCACGTTTGGAACCTGAGCTTCCTGCAGAGCGTGGAGCATGTGGGTCAGGCCAGCAGGCAGAGGGCTCCGTCAGGGATGAGTAATGGGACAAACACGAATATTCTCAGAACAAAGTGGATGCGATTTAAATACAGGCAGGATATGTGCATTCATAAATCATTTTTATAAAGCTTCAGTTCTTAGCCACTAAACTGTAAAAACACGGTGAGATGGTTATAGTTCGTAACTTTTATTAAGTTTGTTAACATAAATGATGTGAAAACCAGCTCCCCTCCCCCAGCGTTTGTGAGAGAAATCCTACAGTTTTAGTCCAATGTTCTGATGGAACTGTGATTAAGACTACTGGGTTAATAGACTATTTCAATTTAGAGACGAGCAACATTCAATTCTAAAAGAATGCTTTAATGTCACAATTTTATTTTTAATCCTCAATTTTAATTTATAAATGTTGGAGAGGAGCCACTGTAGATGAAAAGTGCATGTGTATATGTGTGTGTCTGTATGTATGTGTATGTGGATATATGTGCATGTACGTATATGTGTACGCACATAGACACATTTATATCTTCTCCTACCACCTGCCTGTATCAAAGGAACCTGAATTCCTTTCCGTAACTGACACAGTTAACCCAAGACAAAAACATTACTTGAAACAAGCTTTCATATTTAATCCTTTCTGGAAGTCCCAAAGCATGGTTTACAGCTTCTTTCTTCCCCCTGCCTCCTCCTCCTCCTCCTCCTCCTTTTCCTCCCCCTTCCCCTCCTCCTCCCCCTCCTCCTCCTTCTCCTTCTCCCCCTCCTCCCCCTCCTCCTCCTTCTCCTCCTCCTCCCCTCCCCCTCTCCCCCTCCCTCTTCCCCCTCCTCCTCCCCCCCTCCCCCTCCCCCTCCTACTCCTCTTCCCCCTCTCCCTCCTCCTCCTCTCCCTCCTCCTCCCCCTCCCCCTCCTCCCTCCTCCTCCCCCTCCCCCTCCTCCCTTCCTCCCCCTCCTCCCCTCCTCCCCCTCCTCCCCTCCTCCCCCTCCTCCCCCTCCCCCTCCCCCTCCTACTCCTCCTCCCCCTCTTCTTCCTCCTCCTCTCCCTCCTCCTCCTCCCCTCCTCCTCCTCCTTCTCCTCCTCCCCCCTCCTCCTCCTCGCCCCCTCCTCCCCCTCCCCCTCCTCCTCCTCCCCCCTCCCCCCCCTCCTCCCTCCCTCGCCCCCTCCTCTTCCTCTTCCTCCTCCCCCTCCTCTCCCTCCCCCCTGCCCCTCCTCCTCCTTCTCCTCCTCCCCCCTCCTCCTCCCCCCTCCTCCTCCTCCCCCTCCTCCCCCCCTCCTCCCCCTCCCCCTCCCCCTCCCTCTCCTCCTCTTCTTCTTCCTCTCTTCCTCCTCAGGGTCTCACTCTGTCATCCGGGCTGGAGTACAGTGGTGTTATCACAGCTCACTGCAGCTTTGACCTCCTGGGCTCAAGCAGTCCTCCCACTCCAGCCTCCCCAGTAACCAGAACTACAGGCATGCACCACCATGCCCAGCTATTATTATTATTATTATTATTATTTTTAGAAACGAGATCTTGCCATGTTTCCCAGGCTGGTGTCGAATTCCTGGGCTCAAGCACTCTGCTTGCCTCAGCCTCCCAAAGTGCTGGGATTGCTGGCGTGAGTCACCCCACCTGGCGTCCAGCTTTTTAGGAGTGGCAGATATTTAGTTTGCACTCTTTGAAAACTTAGCCCAGAAATTGCCTGTAGTGAGACCCTGAATCCATTTGCAGACACTTCTCATGGTCTGAACAGAAAAGGCAGACTCAGGAAACATGTCTGGCCACTTATATCCCACAGGGAGTTTGGGGACATTGAGAAGAGTGCCGTGTTTTCCTCAGAACACTCAGAGGTGGCCATGAGAACGGTGAGAGCTGGTGACTTAAATGCGGATGACTTGGTCCTCTTTATCTTAGGAGCGGACATTTCCGCAGTGGATGCCTCCTGGAGAGGGGCTGAGAGCCTTAACAACTTAGGAACCAAGCCCATGCTGGCCCGAGCTGGAGGTTAATGGTCCAGGCTGCAGGGAAATTGCTCAAGCAACCCTGGGTTGGGAGAGAGACAGAGCTCTTGGCGGTTTTATTTTTTTCTTTCGTCTGCCAATATGGTCAAAGTGCTGATTATGGAAGAACACTTAAAGGGAGTCCCAAACCTTGAGTATTCTAGAAGGCGGCAAGGAGTCAGACCTAAATGGGTTTCCTGCTTCCCGGCAGGGCTGATTCTCCAAGGCACCCTCTTGTGTTTTCTGGGTCTTCCTACAAGGTGGTTTCCATCTGTTTAAGAGAAATTGCACTGGGCACTTGCTTAAAATGGCAAGAGAGATTTGACTGGAGTTCTGCAGCAAAGGAGAGAGCCTTCAGCGCAGGACTAAGCCCAGCTCTGAATACAGCAAGGGCAGCTGGAGGTTTACGGCCAATAGGCAGAGTGAGGAACTCAGCTGATGGAAAATTACGAAGAGGAAGGAACTTAGTGTCTAAGGTGGGGTAAGATGAACGTGATTAGTGATCAAGGGTGGGGGGTATTCTCCCTAAACTGGCTTAGCAGGATTCTCGCTAATCCTGGACCCAGAAGGATTCCCACTAATCCTAAAACTGGGCTTAACAGGCCAAGGGTGAGGCTTAGTCAAGAAGAGGGCCCAGAGGAGCGTGGCTAAGGTTTGATCAAGGAGGGAGTCAAGTTGCACCTTTTCTACAAAAGAAGGGCTAGGCAGCCACCAGTGCCCTCTGGGCTCTCCATGGCCAGCCTTTCTCCTTCAGGAAAGCACAGGGAGTTTAGCTCAGGTCTGGAGCCCTTGTTTCCAGGCTCATCAGAAGGGGCTGGGAAAAGGACGAAGTCTTTCTTAGCCCTCACAGTGGATTTGGGAAACCCAGAGAACAGAGTTTTTGGTCAAACTCTAGGTTGCAAGGACCAGAAACCCACTGTTGTAGACAAAGGGAAACTGTTATAAGGAAGCCAGTGAACCTCATGAGGATGAGGCACTGGGCTGCCAAAAGAAAGGAACCAAGGGGGCTGTGTGGGCCTTGGCAGCAAGAGTGTGTGAACCTTCCCCTAGAACTGTGGTGGTGCCTGCTGGGTCAGGCACCATCCTGATCTGATCATCAGTCAGGAGGCAAGGTCAGGTGGTAGATGCACAACTTCCAGAGACCTAATCCTGTAGGTGATGGGGTGGTAGGCCAATGTTGTAGAAGGACTCCATGGGCCAGGCGTGTAAAAGGCGTAAGTAGACCCATAGAATCTCCAGCTTGGAAGGGGCCACAGAGGTCCTTCTGTGTCTTAAACCCTTATCCATCATCCACATGCAGGAATGGGGAAGCTGCTGCTGAGTGGGCTGGCCACATAGTAAACTCCAGGGACAGGGGACTCACTCTGTGTTAAGGTAGCCTGTGACATGCTCACACAGCAGGAATTGCTAGAAAGACTTTAGGTGGCATTAAGCCAAAATAAATAAGTCTTCTTACTTATTTTTAATCTGTATTTATTAAGTAGGCAAAGAGGAACAATGGAAGATTTTTAAGTTGGAATACACTATCTGATCCAAGTGCTGGAAGACATACCTGGTGTGATATTCCAGGTGGCAGGTACTGTGTGTTTGTCTGGGGCAGTGGTTACAGTTGCTACAGCTTCTGTAGCAGTAGAAATTAGTCAAATTATTTACACGCTGTTGGGATAAGGGAAACGTTAAAGCTGTTTCTGGACAGATAATGCTGTCGTCATTCATAAGGGAGGGAACTCAGAATCCAGGAGGCTTATGGGGTTAGGGGGTTGCTGATGGGAGGAGCCTGAGTTTGGAGTGTTTGGAAACTGCATGTGGGAGGTCAGTGTGACTTCATCTGCTCCAGATACCCAGGAAGCACCTGGCAGTGTGGCATAGAGATCAGGAGACAGGTCAGGGTTATAGATCTTGATATCATCATGGTGTACACGTGGATGGTAAGAGAATCCATGAGAATAGCTGAGATTACAGTGGTAGAGAAGCTATGTATCACCACATATTGGGAAGAGGATGGGGCTGCAAAACCAGGAGGAACCGGTGTGTGGGGTGGGAAGAGGAGCACTGTCCTGGTAACTGCAGAGTGGGCATCAGGGTTTTGTCTTTTAAATTGAAGTACGTAGTGCCAATGTTGACTTTGCCATCAGTTAGCATTTTATCTTTGGAACAGTCCTTCCACTTCCTCATTTCTTGGTTTGCTCTTAGACAAGGGGGCTTTGGATTCTGTGATCTTTGAAGAGGCTGCTCTAAACTTCGGTGCTGTGGGTGATAGCCTCCAGCAGCAGCTCCGTCAGTGGAGTATTTGTTCAAACAGGGTGCATGGAGCCCAAGCAGGAAATCGGAACTGAATGTCGTCTCTGAATTTTCACTTTTGCATCCTTCCTTTTCACAATGAAGCTATTCACCTCCTCAGTCACTGGAAATTCCAGGACTGGGAAAGGGGGGAGTTGATTTCTTATAGTTAAATTGTCCGCCTGGCAAGGCCTTGGAAATCTGTTGGCCTGTGTAAAAGGTTAGTTTACTGTGACTAATAGGGTCTGAACTCGAAAGGAGAAAAGTAACTGTAGGAAGGGTGGCCATTCTGTCCAAACTCACATCTGCTTTTCAACTCAGAGAGAGGTAGAAAGTCCCTTCAAATCCCCATTCTGCACGTTACAAAAAGGCTTTGTAGCATTTCCCCATCACTGTGCTACCTGTCTGCAGATGAGACCGCTTGGTCTGTGGATTGAGGATGACTGGAAGTCAGGTGTCTGGTTCAGCCATTTCTGGAGAAGTCATTT